TCGATATAATAAGCATCCAGGGCGCTCTCAAAATTAGAAATAGGGTTGCTTATTAGAATATAATTTTAATAATTTTTTTTTACAGAATTGAAAGATTGTAAATTTTGTGGTTTGGCGAACGCAGAAAATGATCGCTCTCAGCATTTTAGAAGTCTCTTACAAATAATACTACCTGCATGCTTGCACATATTAATTTACATATCTATGTATTTGTGATAATGCAACTCCACATCAACGATGAGTAAAAATAAAGGTCTACGACCATCATTCCAAACAGGAAGTACTGGTAATCAGCAGGAAAAGTTAAAAATTTACAATAGACATCTGCTTTGTGTTTGTGATTTTCAAATATTACCTTATATAACTTACCTTTATTTTTCGGTAATAATGAGGATATATTTAATGTTTATTACTACTTCTTTGTTTTAGCTACCAATTTGTAAAATTAACTTGAATATTTTTTGTCAAAACGTGTTTGTTATGTCGGCTTTTGTGCTGGTCATGACAGGTCACCGGTTCAACAATTTATATATCCAGCATTTGAATGAAAATACTACAACCCCCTACCTGAGATTAATTCCAAAGACAATGTATGCAAATATCCTTAAAGTACATCTAGTTTCATAAGTAACATAACTTCGCTTAACACCACTGCCACGCGCTAATTTCCATGTGACATGACTGGACTTTTCTCTTGTTTTTAAACAACTTTGAAATCAGAACAGACTGATGCTTTACATATTGTTTTGCACAATTATTTGCCACTTCAACTGCGACTGTGAGGTGCACGACAATATATATTTATGCATCAAAGTGATCATACCGCTACCTCTCCCTATGCCTTCGATGACAGCATGTGATGTAAACAAATGAAGACTACGCAATTGGAAATCGTTTTTCACGTTTTGAGATATTTTCTCATTGATAGTTGACTGTGACACATTTTTATCTTAATGTGTAGATTCATTAAAAAATGAAACAGAAGAAAATAAGATCATTGTTGCATTAATAAATAGGAGTTGGTATGTGGTAAAGCAAGCTTTATGGAACCGGGTGAAGTTGTAAGTATCGTAGGGACACTATTTCACCGAAATTATTATGTAAACATTATTGAATGTAATTTTTATTAAAATTAATATAATAGATTACAAATGTAAGTCCAGACATATAATGAACACTTAAATAGTGTAACAAAAGGGTTAACTTGCGTGATTCAATATGAATTTGTTGATATTCTATTCTTTTTATTTTTATATAGCGGATCATGACAGTCATATACTGACAACCTGAAATGATACTAAAGTCTGTGTATATTATACATATGAGATATATTTTTCCAGAATTTAATTGCCCATAATTAAAGATGCATATAACAAATGAGTGCATTAGTATACACATATAACTATGTTTTGTGTACATAGATCAATCGGAAGTGGCGCTTATTGGGATTGTTCACTTGCCAATATATAAGTAAATATCACCGTAGGTGCTTATAAGAACGGGGAGTTTATTACGTCGAATATGGTATCTCTGATTTTAAGCTAAAAATGTCTCCAATACCATCTCTTTTATACCAATTCTTTAACATTACTAAGCTGATTAGATCCTGGCCCCGACTATATTCCTCATGCTTTTCCAACATCCACCATTCTGTGTGTCTATATTTTTTAGACTAGCTGCTCACCTGAGCATGGTACATGTGTTAGACTAGCTGCTCACCTGAGCATGGTACATGTATTAGACTAGCTGCTCAGGTGAGCATGGTACATGTATTAGACTAGATGCTCACCTGAGCATGGTACATGTATTAGACTAGCTGCTCACCTGAGCATGGTACATGTATTAGACTAGATGCTCACCTGAGCATGGTACATGTATTAGACTAGCTGCTCACCTGAGCATGGTCTAGTATTAGACTAGCTGCTCACCTGAGCATGGTACATGTATTAGACTAGATGCTCACCTGAGCATGGTACATGTATTAGACTACATGCTCACCTGAGCATGGTACATGTATTAGACTAGATGCTCACCTGAGCATGGTACATGTATTAAACTAGCTGCTCACCTGAGCATGGTACATGTATTAGACTAGCTGCTCAGGTGAGCATGGTACATGTATTAAACTAGCTGCTCACCTGAGCATGGTACATGTATTAAACTAGCTGCTCACCTGAGCATGGTACATGTATTAGACTAGCTGCTCACCTGAGCATGGTACATGTATTAGACTAGATGCTCACCTGAGCATGGTACATGTATTAGACTAGCTGCTCACCTGAGCATGGTACATGTATTAGACTAGATGCTCACCTGAGCATGGTACATGTATTAGACTAGATGCTCACCTGAGCATGGTACATGTATTAGACTAGCTGCTCACCTGAGCATGGTACATGTATTAGACTAGCTGCTCACCTGAGCATGGTACATGTATTAAACTAGCTGCTCACCTGAGCATGGTACATGTATTAGACTAGCTGCTCACCTGAGCATGGTACATGTATTAAACTAGCTGCTCACCTGAGCATGGTACATGTATTAGACTAGCTGCTCACCTGAGCATGGTACATGTATTAAACTAGCTGCTCACCTGAGCATGGTACATGTAATAGACTAGATGCTCACCTGAGCATGGTACATGTATTAAACTAGCTGCTCACCTGAGCATGGTACATGTATTAGACTAGCTGCTCACCTGAGCATGGTACATGTATTAGACTAGCCTCTCACCTGAGCATGGTACATGTATTAAACTAGCCTCTCACCTGAGCATGGTACATGTATTAGACTAGCCTCTCACCTGAGCATGGTACATGTATTAGACTAGCTGCTCACCTGAGCATGGTACATGTATTAGACTAGCCTCTCACCTGAGCATGGTACATGTATTAAACTAGCTGCTCACCTGAGCATGGTACATGTATTAGACTAGATGCTCACCTGAGCATGGTACATGTATTAGACTAGATGCTCACCTGAGCATGGTACATGTATTAGACTAGATGCTCACCTGAGCATGGTACATGTATTAAACTAGCTGCTCACCTGAGCATGGTACATGTATTAGACTAGATGCTCACCTGAGCATGGTACATGTATTAGACTAGCTGCTCACCTGAGCATGGTACATGTATTAGACTAGATGCTCACCTGAGCATGGTACATGTATTAGACTAGATGCTCACCTGAGCATGGTACATGTATTAGACTAGATGCTCACCTGAGCATGGTACATGTATTAGACTAGCTGCTCACCTGAGCATGGTACATGTATTAGACTAGCTGCTCACCTGAGCATGGTACATGTATTAGACTAGATGCTCACCTGAGCATGGTACATGTATTAAACTAGCTGCTCACCTGAGCATGGTACATGTAATAGACTAGATGCTCACCTGAGCATGGTACATGTATTAAACTAGATGCTCACCTGAGCTGTAGCTATCCGTGGATGACTGGGACACAGACCGGCTGTGGATGCGTGGTCTGTTTGGCGTTAAGTTGTATTTAATTTCCTGAAAAAGAAATCAAATACTTTAAGAAAACAGATCATAAAAAAATCATTTTAATCTATGCACAAAACAAACAATTTACAGCTAAATTTGTTGTACATCAATCCTTACAGGCTATGAGTGACTGAGTTTGGTTTAACACCGCTTTTATTAGTATTCCAGTTATATCATGGTGTGTCAGCTTAATGTGGGAGTAAAGCCCGAAGTGATGCAGGTCTGAGATGTTTACCACCTCGGTGAAACCCACTTGCACGGGTATGGTGCTGACAAAAGTAGAAACATAATCGGGGTGAACCGGGCTTCGCACCCACAATCATAGGTTTATGGCGTGCCCAAGGGACTACAGACTAAGATTATTGTATGTTTCAATCAAAACTTAGCGATAGTGAACCACACAATTATTGAGTTAATAGCCAAGGCTTACTGAAAGAAATGTGAAACAACATACATATTTGAAAATTTGGGAAGGATAGTGACTGCAAGCCACAGTGTGTGACCGTGACCTTTTTGATACCTCAGGGGTACTTAATCTTAGTACACACTTTAGTTGGGAGTGGTTTCCCTTTATATTATTCATTTAACAAGGAACAGACATTATACTCAAATGTATGTTATATTCCTTTATATCTAGCAAAGGTAATTAATTATATTTTGTTCTCTTTTGTTCAAAAACAACAAACTAGATTGCCTAAATTATAGAAGATACCAAGTAAATATAAATTGACCAATTTCTTTCTGAAAAAAGGTTTAACTGCTGAGATTAACATCATAGATTTATTCCACTGAATATGCTGCAATGCTGTTGACAGCAATAAATAAGACACAAGAGAGATCATATGTTTATGCAGAGGGTCGGTTGTATCCACTGGCTCACCATACAACTGCAACCACTTCTTCACAGCCTTTCTGTATTTTGTGAAGACTGTCATAACATATGATTTCATAAGATAAAAGTACAGGATATCCATGTTATTTTAACAGACAAAAGAAAAAAAACATGTTATGATAAATTATACTAAATTTAGAACCATATATTTCCCGAAATCACGGCTGTATTAATTCAAATGGTGGAAGCAGTTGTTTTGGTAACAGTGAGGGAAAGTTGAAAGCAATGTAAGTTTTTCAATTATTTTGGACCATTTTATAAATGACACAAGGTGTGATTGTGTAGGTATCCTCATAGATTCCACTGTTTGCATACACAGCCAAGAATGTGCTTTTAGACACTGACATGAGTCAAGCTCAAGATTACCTTATCTCTACCACTGGACCATCTCAGCTGAGATTGTGATCCTAAATCCAAGCCATCTTACAATCATGTGCAAGTGGAACATTGGTGATTAAGTTTATTGTAAGTGCCTAAGATTGTTTGGAACAAAGGCTGTTCTGTGTGAGTAGGTCAAGGTGTCTTTATGATTTAAATATAATAATAGAAGACTTACACTAATCAACACTCATCATGCGCATATTTTTTCTCCATGACAGAAAACATGACACAACTAAAATTACAGTGGAACAGGACTTGCAGGAGACAACAGCCACACTGACCATAGCTAACAACTAAGGAGATAATTCAACAGCATCAAAATGTGAGTCCTAAATACATCACAATTCACCAACATTCTATACAAAACATTGACACCTCAGGAGTTACAACCATTCCTGTAACTCCATGAGCCACTGCCAAGGGCAGTTGAGATGTCAATGGTGCACATTTTGGGGCCTTTCACTTTGTACAAGGTGAAAGGGAGAGAACTCTTACAATAATATCATTCTCTCCAGCCAAAGTATTTCCCCCACAAACAGTACCCTCAAGTGTATATAATCTTTCTCTGGGAGGAATTCCACTGACAAAGCCTAAGTACAGAAAAAAATATACAGGTTAAAAAGTTCAACTAGTAGTTCATGCAGGCTAATAGACTGCACTGAGAAAACATGTGAAATTGTTAAATCCACTAACATTTGATGAGACCTTCAGTGGTGTAACAGGTTTTGAGGTAAGAACATAAGAAGATGTTGCCATGCAGTACAGGAAGTTTAATGTCACCAACAGTATTGCAAGAAAAATGATGGAACTGCCATGCAAATAAAAAAGTTGGCTGTACATAGTGGTGTAGAAGTCATGTTAAAATGACCAATAAATGCATCTCTGAGAAGCCATTGTCACACACATGGCAGCCCTGATGTACATGAAGCACCATAGATTAATGACTGAACATGCCCCCTTGGTGTGTCATGTAGGAAGCCATTGTCACACACATGGCAGCCCTGATGTACATGAAGCACCACAGATTAATGACTGAACATGCCCCCTTGGTGTGTCATGTAGGAGTCCAGTGTCACACACAAAGCAGCCCTGATGTACATGAAGCACCATAGATTAATGACTGAACATGCACTCTGGTGTGTCATGTAGGAAGCCAGTGTCACACACAAAGCAGCCCTGATGTACATGAAGCACCATAGATTAATGACTGAACATGCTCCCTTGGTGTGTCATGTAGGAGTCCAGTGTCACACACAAAGCAGCCCTGATGTACATGAAGCACCACAGATTAATGACTGAACATGCCCCCTTGGTGTGTCATGTAGGAAGCCAGTGTCACACACAAAGTAGCCCTGATGTACATGAAGCACCATAGATTAATGACTGAACATGCCCCCTTGGTGTGTCATGCAGGAAGCCAGTGTCACACACAAAGCAGCCCTGATGTACATGAAGCACCACAGATTAATGACTGAACATGCCCCCTTGGTGTGTCATGTAGGAAGCCAGTGTCACACACAAAGCAGCCCTGATGTACATGAAGCACCACAGATTAATGACTGAACATGCCCCCTTGGTGTGTCATGTAGGAAGCCATTGTCACACACATGGCAGCCCTGATGTACATGAAGCACCATAGATTAATGACTGAACATGCCCCCTTGGTGTGTCATGTAGGAGTCCAGTGTCACACACAAAGCAGCCCTGATGTACATGAAGCACCATAGATTAATGACTGAACATGCCCCCTTGGTGTGTCATGTAGGAAGCCAGGGTCACACACAAAGCAGCCCTGATGTACATGAAGCACCATAGATTAATGACTGAACATGCCCCCTTGGTGTGTCATGTAGGAGTCCAGTGTCACACACAAAGCAGCCCTGATGTACATGAAGCACCATAGATTAATGACTGAACATGCCCCCTTGGTGTGTCATGTAGGAAGCCAGTGTCACACACAAAGCAGCCCTGATGTACATGAAGCACCATAGATTAATGACTGAACATGCCCCCTTGGTGTGTCATGTAGGAAGCCAGTGTCACACACAAAGCAGCCCTGATGTACATGAAGCACCATAGATTAATGACTGAACATGCCCCCTTGGTGTGTCATGTAGGAAGCCAGTGTCACACACAAAGCAGCCCTGATGTACATGAAGCACCACAGATTAATGACTGAACATGCCCCCTTGGTGTGTCATGTAGGAAGCCAGTGTCACACACAAAGCAGCCCTGATGTACATGAAGCACCACAGATTAATGACTGAACATGCCCCCTTGGTGTGTCATGTAGGAGTCCAGTGTCACACACAAAGCAGCCCTGATGTACATGAAGCACCACAGATTAATGACTGAACATGCCCCCTTGGTGTGTCATGTAGGAAGCCAGTGTCACACACAAAGCAGCCCTGATGTACATGAAGCACCACAGATTAATGACTGAACATGCCCCCTTGGTGTGTCATGTAGGAGTCCAGTGTCACACACAAAGCAGCCCTGATGTACATGAAGCACTACAAATTAATGACTGAACATGCCCCCTTGGTGTGTCATGTAGGAAGCCAGTGTCACACACAAAGCAGCCCTGATGTACATGAAGCACCATAGATTAATGACTGAACATGCCCCCTTGGTGTGTCATGTAGGAAGCCAGTGTCACACACAAAGCAGCCCTGATGTACATGAAGCACCACAGATTAATGACTGAACATGCCCCCTTGGTGTGTCATGTAGGAAGCCAGTGTCACACACAAAGCAGCCCTGATGTACATGAAGCACCACAGATTAATGACTGAACATGCCCCCTTGGTGTGTCATGTAGGAAGCCAGTGTCACACACAAAGCAGCCCTGATGTACATGAAGCACCACAGATTAATGACTGAACATGCCCCCTTGGTGTGTCATGTAGGAAGCCAGTGTCACACACAAAGCAGCCCTGATGTACATGAAGCACCACAGATTAATGACTGAACATGCCCCCTTGGTGTGTCATGTAGGAGTCCAGTGTCACACACAAAGCAGCCCTGATGTACATGAAGCACCACAGATTAATGACTGAACATGCCCCCTTGGTGTGTCATGTAGGAAGCCAGTGTCACACACAAAGCAGCCCTGATGTACATGAAGCACCACAGATTAATGACTGAACATGCCCCCTTGGTGTGTCATGTAGGAGTCCAGTGTCACACACAAAGCAGCCCTGATGTACATGAAGCACTACAAATTAATGACTGAACATGCCCCCTTGGTGTGTCATGTAGGAAGCCAGTGTCACACACAAAGCAGCCCTGATGTACATGAAGCACCATAGATTAATGACTGAACATGCCCCCTTGGTGTGTCATGTAGGAAGCCAGTGTCACACACAAAGCAGCCCTGATGTACATGAAGCACCACAGATTAATGACTGAACATGCCCCCTTGGTGTGTCATGTAGGAAGCCAGTGTCACACACAAAGCAGCCCTGATGTACATGAAGCACCACAGATTAATGACTGAACATGCCCCCTTGGTGTGTCATGTAGGAAGCCAGTGTCACACACAAAGCAGCCCTGATGTACATGAAGCACCATAGATTAATGACTGAACATGCCCCCTTGGTGTGTCATGTAGGAAGCCAGGGTCACACACTAAGCAGCCCTGATGTACATGAAGCACCACAGATTAATGACTGAACATGCCCCCTTGGTGTGTCATGTAGGAGTCACACACAAAGCAGCCCTGATGTACATGAAGCACCATAGATTAATGACTGAACATGCCCCCTTCATGTAGGAAGACTCGGATGACACTGTCCTACACTGATGTAGTGACAGAACTTCTCAACTGGTGTACAATGCCATGTCACCACCTTACCTTCCCATTCAGCTTAGCCTCTCCATTGGCATGGCCATTAGCACCATTCTCAGTTGTTCCATTGGTATCTGGGATGGTTTTCATTTTTAGATACTCAGTTGTGGAGTTATTTCTAAACTGTTCCAATAACTTCAGTAGAAGACAGAATCACAACCCTTCCGAAAACACAGCTCCCAACACAACTGCCAGGCTTTTCAATAATCTCTGTCTTACCTTTCAGTGAACTTACGATGTGAATAGAGACTGTGTAGTGACCAAATGTATCACTTTTCCTCAAATGCCCATGTTGTATTGATGCTGATGTGACTGTCAGTAGTGCTGAAACCACTGACCTGCCTTCAACTCCTCTGGGGAGGCAGTGACAACTGGCAGTGACACGGATGATGCTTGACTGAGTCTGCAGGCCCCATTAGTGGCAGCCATGCAGAACCACCACTGGAGCTCCTGTACAGAGAGTATAGGACAGCCAGGCTGAGACATGGAAGAGCTGGGTGGAGCACATCCTGGCAGAGCCCCAGCCCTTTCCCCTGACTGGGCTGACAGACAGTAAGTAACAGCTGAGAAGAGCTTCACTCCCCCTTACAGGACAGGCAGACAATTGGTAACCCTTTTCTGCCTGCCATTTCTTTGTGAAATGATGAAGTAAACATATTAGCATTATCAAAATTTCATGATGCCTGTAAGCACAATGTCCCCCCAAACAAGTCTGTAAAGTATTGAAGACCACTGAAGAGATAATTCCCCCTAATGAGCTATCCTACATGCAATGCAAAGTAATTGACATTTAGCATGTATTATGATGTTCCTCGTACAGCAGTGTGCATCGCTCTGATTATATGTTGCTCATTGCATGGTGAAACACTATCCGAGGAAATGACAGACAACATGGAAATATGAACATATCACCTGATAACGGGCTGGACCACTCTTATGCGCCACATACGGAAACAATATCCAGTGTTTCAGCTGGTACTGTGCATGAATGATGTGAAGCCATTCTGTACAAACTAGTCATGGCATCCACTTGCAGAGTTTTCACTGGCATTATTGTGTCATTTATGTGTGGTTGACACTTTGTCAGCACAAGTGGTTGGTTGCCATGACTACAGTGCATTTTCTTAGCGTCATAAAGAACCTGTACCTATTTGCAAATTACCAGACTAGCAGATTGTGTTTGTGTTACACTTAGATGGTTTGTTCAGCCATTGGTGAGGTGAGGTTAAATGGGGTTTAATGCCGCGTTCAACATTATTACACTTATATAGTGACGTGCATGCAGATGTGTGTGTGTGTGGCTGCTTGTACTAGTTCAGACTAATGCCGATTTATGGTGCTAGTTCACGGAGATACCATGCCGCAGTTTAACATGAATACCACACTAAGACAAATTAAACCATGGCTCCTTTGTCATTGACTGTGGTCTAACTAACTGAAGTGTTAGTTAAACACCACTTGGCAATGATGGAAATTCTTTTTCCCCATTACATTTGTCTTGATGATAGAACAATTTCATGAAAAACATTTGTCGCCAGCGGGATTCGAACCCGCAAAGTTCGCACAGAAGGCTAACAAATGCAGTCTTCTGCCACGGCGACATGTGAGAAAGGGTATGAAATTAACAACTAAATATTTACTTATTTACTCACATCAGTACCAAGTGCTTATCCCTTTATGAACTGTGAAATGTGTTTTATGCAACTTTTATCCAGTATGTTTCTCTATGCATTCTGGTATGTGTACAGTACTTGTGATTTTCTAGCTTTTCGTTCAAAGAAACAAAAAGAAATTACTAGTATCTTGATCAGGGCTATATTTGATCATAATAGGCCCATCAACATGGCCAAGTAATATTTAGTTGATTGATAAATGTGCTCGAGTTGGTCCAAAATGAATGGTATACTTGCCCCAGGACATGCATTTCATAACCCAAATCAGCAAAGTGCGAAAGGCTTGGGGAACACAATTCACATGCTTCACGCAGGGCCGACTCACAGTGTTCTCACAGTTGAGCATACAGTTCCTAAATATCTTTCAAAATACCATTAACAAAACAATGTTTTTTAAGCATTTTAGGTGCCATAAATGTTGGACATGGTTTAAGTATGTTAGACCACGAGGACCCCAGTGTCTAATCGTTGAAATGGTTGATTAAACCATTTCAATGATTAGACACTGGGTCCTGGTGGTCTAACCTATACGTATACTGACTCTGAGCCGGCCAGTTTTTGTTGGTCACCAGAACTAAATTTCAACCATCAATTCAATACCTTAAGGGAATAATATTGATAACATATTCACTTAAGTTGGCATTTCCTTGGAAACTAATTTAATTCTGATGTTAGATAAAGTTTAAAATGTTGCATTCATAGCTTGAACATAGGAGAAAATCACTGCAGCATGCATATGGACTTATGAGCTGGTACAAAGTCATGTCAAAACACATTTCTCCTTGCCATTTCAGTCAGACTAATAAAAATGTCAAGACATTAAACTGCCCATAATAAACACAATGTAGTGGTCTCTTAAAGGAATAACAACACTCCTCAAGAAGCAGAAGTCATGGTACACTCTTAATTGTCAGGAGTATTGAGGCTGAAGGTGGCCAAGGGGAAAGGGGGAAGAGGGGAGGGGGAAGGGGGGAGGGGGAGGGGGAGGGGGAGGAGGGTCAGGATCAGATCCATGGTAGGTAAAATGGTAGGGTAAGTGGATGTGGGGTCAGCATGAGATCTGTGGGGTCAGGATCAGACCTGAGGTGGGGGGAGGTGGGGTCAGGATCAGAGCTGAGGTGGGGGAGGTGGGGTCGGGATTAGAGCTGAGGTGGGGAAGGTGGGTCGGGATCAGAGCTGAGGCGGGGAGTTTGGTCGGTATCAGAACTGAGGTGAGCTGAGGTGGGGGAAGTGGGTCAGGATCAGAGCTGAGGTGGGTCAGGATCAGAGCTGAGGTGGGGGAGGTGGGGTCAGGATCAGAGCTGAGGTGGGGTAAGGATGAGAGCTGAGGTTGGGTCAGGATCAGAGCTGAGGTGGGGTCAGGATCAGAACTTGGGTGGGGGAGGTGGGGTCAGGACGAGAGCTGAGGTGGGGGAGGTGGGGTCAGGATCAGAGCTGAGGTGGGGTCAGGATCAGAGCTGTGGTGGGTGGAGGAGGTGTCAGGATGAGAGCTGAGGTGGGGTCAGGATGCATCATTCATCAAATCTGCAACAAGAAGATTATTCAAGAAGCTTGTATAGCATATGTATGCAAGAGACCATAACTTTGCAAGAACCTGGATTCCCTGGGTATGTTTTATAAGATCTAGTGCATCATTCTGGTAGATGAAGAGATGTTGATGCAAACCACATCATGACAAGGCTGCTATTAGAGCTGATCATTAAAACTATCAAATCAATCATTTTCTTGGACAAATTGATGATCATGATCATGATTTTATTCATTTCCATCTTTGTTTACTGCTTGAAGTGCAACAATGAGAACCCTGCCCAGTGTAGTGGAACAGATCAAGGTCCTTGTCTCCTATTTGTCACAAACACGATGTGGTCAGTAGGCTGTAGAAGTACAAGTTGTTCACACAGGATGCTCGGCCACAAAACAATGTATACACTGTAGCAGACAGGGCACATTGAGACACATGCTGCAGACAGGGCACATAGAGACACATGCTGCCAACAGGGCACATAGAGACACATGCTGCAGACAGGGCACATAGAGACACATGCTGCAGACAGGGCACACAGAGACACATGCTGCAGACAGGGCACACAGAGACACATACTTCAGACAGGGCACATAGAGACACATACTTCAGACAGGGCACACAGAGACGAATGCTGCAGACAGGGCACATAGAGACACATGCTGCAGACAGGGCACATAGAGACACATGCTGCAGACAGGGCACACAGAGACACATACTTCAGACAGGGTACATAGAGACACATGCTGCAGACAGGGCACATAGAGACACATGCTGCAGACAGGGCACACAGAGACACATACTTCAGACAGGGTACATAGAGACACATGCTGCAGACAGGGTACATAGAGACACATGCTGCAGACAGGGCACACAGAGACACATGCTTCAGACAGGGAACATAGAGACACATGCTTCAGACAGGGCACATAGAGACACATGCTGCAGACAGGGCACACAGAGACACATACTTCAGACAGGGAACATAGAGACACATGCTTCAGACAGGGCACACAGAGACACATGCTGCAGACAGGGCACATAGAGACACATGCTTCAGACAGGGCACACAGAGACACATGCTTCAGACAGGGCACACAGAGACACATGCTGCAGACAGGGCACATAGAGACACATGCTGCAGACAGGGCACACAGAGACACATGCTGCAGACAGGGCACATTGAGACAGATGCTGCAGACAGGGCACACTGCAACACATGCTGGCAAGGCAGGTTACAAAAGACATTCTGATCAAGCCTACCCCAACCACCTCATCCAACATACCCATTTACACTTGCTACATCAACATGGTGTCTTGGTTGCCACATACACAAAAAATCTGAAATCAATACAAGCAACAACATCCAGTGTCTTGAAACCTCTTACTGCAGTAGTCTAACACAAACACCTCAGGGATAGTGCTCAACTGTCATTGAACACAATCATTGATAAATGATATCAAAGATTCAGGTTTCTAAGAAAACCGTATTGATGCACTTGTCTAGGTGGTCCATGTATATATAAACAAGATGATTTGACAAACCCATTTTCTTGTCTTTATCAATTAAAGTCATTAAGTCCCGCTAAGGTGGTCGGAAACAAACCAGCCTGCCAGACATTTACCATGTTTACTCAAATGTTATGTTACCTTTCTGTATTTCTTGAGATTACATATCTTAACAGTATGGAAAGAATGCATGTATTATTGTCTACTGTTCTCATTCCATTCATGTCCAACAATGGACAGATCAGTAGTTTCAGATGCTCCCTTATTTATAAGTACTTGATGTAAGTAAAGAGCAGCGGTAGAAACTAACATTTTTAGTCCACTAGTCCTTACAATGATAACATATAGCAAAACCAATTTTTTTTGGCAAATTTCTACTAGTCCTTATGATACCTTAACTATTGGGCAGTTTGGTAAGGACTACAGGACTAGTGCCAATTTCTACCACTGAAAGAGGCTTCACTGTACATCAACAGATATATACAGAAAGACTCTCTCCGTGCACACATGGCATGGGCCAGAGGAAGTTTTAGTGCTGTTCCGGATTGTTGAATTTCACTAATAATTGGGTCAGGCTTCAGACATCATGAATATGCATATACAGTCGTGCCTCGTTTATACGGACACTTGCGTCATTTCACAATTCGTCCGTATAAACAAATTTCCGTGTAACTGAAACCAGCTTCTTACTGGAAGAGTTACTTTAATTTCCTTTCAATTATGCAACTCATGACATATGACAGAGCAAACGAAGAACCGTCTGCATTCGCACAAAGAGCCACACTAACACGGTCCTTGGATCGTTTCGTACCACTAACAGGCTTGGACGCAAGTGTCTGATTTGGTCC